AGATTTCTGTTTTTGTTTGCCCTAAACTCTCTGCTTGATTTTGTGATTCGCTTTTTGTTTCTATGTCTACTTTCGGTTTCTTATACTGGGCTACGTCTAGGTTTCAGTTGATATACAGTTCTTACGGATTTTGGATTGTCGGTGATAGGAATCGAACTGGTGATTTTTAGTTAGGATTACTTAGCAATTGCCATGTATTTAAATTTGATTTTTCTGTTTTTTTTGAAGTTTGGGAGTGTTGAAATTCTGTGCAGATTCTTGAGTCGGAATTTTGATCTGGAGCACATTTCAAGTTCTGTTCAGATTGGTGAATTCTGATCTTCCTTTGTTCAAGTTATTGCTGTTAGTATTTCGTCTAGAAACATTGGAATCTGATGGCTAACTTACCGCAAAGATCGGTTAATTACCCGGGCACTCTCGCTCCTTTAGAACCAAATAGACCGTCACCGCAGCCAGATAGAACCCCGGTTCCTCATTCTCCTCCAATAGTTGCTTCACCTGTACCTCCTATTCCTCATCCAACTTTCAGACAAGATCATATGCCTTCACCTTCGATGAAATCCCCGAATCTGTTGTCACCTTCGAATGGTATCAGAACCGGGAGCCCCATTCCTCGTATGAGTACCCCTCCTGGTCCTCCAGTCTTTAATACTCCGGTTAAACCAGCTGCAGTTCCTTTTCGTACCTCTCCAGCTACTCCTCAGCCTATGGCGTACTCTTCGGCTACGGCTTCTTCTCTGCCTGTATCTACGCCTTCATATTACTCAAATGGGTCATCAGCTGGAACGCAGCGTGATCTTCCAGATGTTGTTAGAATGGAAGAACCAATTGCTCCAGACTCACCTTATGTTTTGTTTTCTGCAAATAAGGTAACTTTTTTAGTTGTGTCTTATTTAACAGCCTGCTTGATTCTTACTTCTAAGCTTCTTAAGTGCCTGCTATGTGAATTTCTTTATCTGCGTCCATGACTGACCATTTATTTTATTTTTGGTCATGTAGGTTTTAAAGCAGAAGAAGCTAGCAAATGTTGCTAGCTTGGGTTTTGGTGCAATAGTTTCTGCCGGGAGGGAGATTAGTCCTGGTCCTCAGATTATTCAACGTGATCCACATCGTTGTCTGAACTGTGGAGCGTATTCTAATCCCTATAGCTCCATATTAATTGGTTCAGGCCAATGGCAGTGCATCATCTGCGAGAACATGAATGGAAGTAAAGGTGAATATGTGGCTTCGAGCAAGAATGAGTTGAGAAATTTTCCAGAGCTTTCATTGCCTCTGGTTGATTATGTTCAGACTGGAAACAAGAGACCTGGGTTTGTTCCAGCTTCTGATTCTCGGACATCTGCACCTGTTGTACTTGTCATTGATGAGTGTTTAGATGAACCACATCTGCAGCACTTGCAGAGCTCTTTGCATGCATTTGTAGACTCGCTTCCACAAACTACCAGGCTTGGGATTATACTGTATGGCCGTACTGTATCGATATATGATTTCTCTGAAGAATCTGTTGCTTCAGCCGATGTTATTTCTGGTGCAAAATCACCATCCGCAGAGTCGATGAAATCGCTGATTTATGGGACCGGTGTATACTTGTCACCAATGCATGCATCACTAAAGGTAGCACATGAGATATTCTCGTCCTTAAGACCTTACACATTGAATATCCCTGAAGCATCTAGAGATAGGTGCCTTGGAACTGCTGTTGAGGCTGCTCTGGCTATAATTCAAGGACCATCAGCAGAAATGTCTCGGGGAGTGGTCAGAAGAGCAGGAGGAAACAGTAGAATCATTGTTTGCGCTGGTGGACCCATTACCTACGGTCCTGGATCAGTACCTCATTCCATGACTCATCCAAATTATCCATATATGGAAAAGACAGCCATAAAATGGATGGAGAATTTGGGCCGTGAAGCTCACAGACACAATACGGTTGTTGACATTTTATGTGCTGGAACTTGTCCTCTCAGAGTTCCTGTTCTGCAGCCACTTGCAAAAGCTTCAGGCGGTGTTTTGGTTCTTCACGACGATTTTGGTGAAGCCTTTGGTGTGGACTTGCAGAGGGCGGCTACTAGGGCAGCTGGTTCCCATGGTCTGCTTGAAGTACGGTGTTCAGATGATATTCTTATAACTCAGGTGATTGGACCTGGCGAAGAAGCACATTTAGAAACTCACGAGACGTTTAAGAGTGATGCCGCTCTCTGTATTCAGATGCTAAGTGTTGAAGAAACACAGAGCTTCTCTCTCTCGATGGAGAATAAGAGGGACATCAAAAGCGATCACGTCTTTTTCCAGTTTGCTTTCCATTATTCGGACGTTTACCAAGCCGATGTGTCAAGGGTAATTACATTCAAATTGCCAACTGTTGATAGTGTCTCCGCATATCTTCAAAGTGTTGAGGAAGAAGCTGCCGCGGTTCTCATCTCCAAGAGAACTCTTTTACTAGCGAAAAATCAAAAGGATGCAGTCGATATGCGTGCTACCGTAGATGAAAGAATCAAAGATATTGCTTTGAAATTCGGATCACAAGTGCCAAAATCAAAGCTTTATAGCTTCCCCAAAGAACTATCATCCCTTCCAGAACTCCTCTTCCATCTTAGAAGGGGTCCTCTATTGGGAAACATCATTGGTCATGAAGATGAAAGATCGGTGCTACGGAATTTGTTTCTAAACGCATCTTTCGATCTGTCTCTTCGAATGGTAGCGCCCCGTTGCTTGATGCACCAAGAAGGTGGCACATTCGAGGAACTACCAGCCTATGATCTCTGTATGCAATCAGATAAGGCTGTTATTCTTGACCATGGCACAGATGTATTTATTTGGTTGGTAAGTTTCTCTCCATCTTTAATCATTGGCTTATAATGTCCATGCCATTAATATTTCTGTCAGAAGGATTTTTGTTAATCTTTCTTTTTGGGTTGATTTAGGGAGCCGAACTGTCTGCTGATGAGGTGAAGTGCGCTGCGGTTTTAGCAGCTTGCCGAACATTAGCTGAAGAACTAACCGAATTCCGGTTTCCAGCACCGCGCATTCTCGCCTTCAAGGTCCTTAACATTTCAGAGTCTCTTTTTTATGATATCTATCTCTTAAATCCATTGAAACGTAGCTCAAATCGCGTGGACATTGTGTAACAGGAGGGAAGTTCCCAGGCAAGATACTTTGTTTGCCGGCTTATACCAGCGCATAAAGATCCTCCTTATGAACAGGTAACACAACGAAAATCCCGAGTTCATTCTCGGATTCCTAAACAAAGCTTTGATTCATTGATTGTTGTTTCTCTCCTCTGAATCCAATTAATATGTGCAGGAAGCAAGATTTCCGCAGGTAAGAACGTTGACGACAGAGCAAAGAAGAAAACTAAAGAGTAGTTTTATAGAGTTTGATGAAGCGAGTTTCTGCGAATGGATGAGAAGTTTAAAAGTAGTGCCTCCTGAGCCCAGGTAGAAAGATGTGTTTTCAATCTTCATTAT